CAACTTTACTCTCACCCAAGTTAGGGGAAATGAATTCCAATGTTTACAACTAAACAGAAGTGGCTAGTCTTGGTTCAAGTCTTCATAGGGCTTATAACCTAGATTTCTGTGTCTTGTTTATCAAATACCCTTAAATACCTCATAAATGCAATAACTGCTACTCAGCATTGTTTCCCAGACAGGAAGTCTCTGTGTATTTAAGGTGTGTACCACCACCACCACCAGGCTCAGCATTGTTTTTTAATGAACATATTATATTTAAAGATTTTACAGCCGCTAACATCTATACTTACAATATTACATTATTAAAGCTCATGTTTGTTCCTCTACTAGAAGAAACCCAAAAATTAAACCATTTGGAGCATTAGCCAATAGTACTGCTTACTGCATTAGGAAAATTTAAAGATAGCAAGTTAGACTCGATTTTACACAGGGTGGCAAAAACTCACACATCAAGTACCAAAAAATGCTGGCACACAATTCCGTATTTGAATGTAGCTTATGATGCTTTCACTATTTTAGTATTTTTCCAATTACTAAGAAAACACTTGTATATCAAAATAATTATCAAAAAAAAAGCTTGCTATCTCCAATTAATGTATAGTCTCAGTTTCAAATAAAGTCTGGGAAATTAAGTTTTTAAAAAGGTAAAAATGTTCAGCACTGAGACAGAAAAGTAGCAAAGGTGAATGTTTCAAACTCACCAAAAATGGGAAAGTCAGTAGATGATAAACTATCAAGACTAAGACTTAAAATATCCTATTTTTTCCAACTTCCTACAGCTCAGATTTTAGCCAATATTCCTCCTCTCAATCCTATCCTGTAACTAAATAAAAATCTTCATGGGAATTTTTCAAAATTGAAAATGTCCTAAAGACTGGCAGGCCTAAGTTGTCAACGTTACATTTTACTTAAGGTAAAAGAGCAAGTTAGCCTAACAGTCCCGGGTGTAACTGACTCCGTTCTGACTGTACTACCCATCTGTCTGTCCCTTTCCACTACTTTCCTTAAGGTAGAAATTCACTTCTGCGGAGACCCTTCGCCTAGAAACTGTCCTGCACTAAAAGTGTAAGACAAAAAAACCGACTGAAGTAACCACATCGTGTGGCCCGGAATAGCTAAATATTAAAGCCAAAAACAGAGTGGGTGTGGCTCGATTTTTTTTGGGGGGGGGGAGGCTAGGCGGGGCGGCTGCTTGGTCTCTGCCCTCCCCCTCGGCTTTCGCTTTGTGCTCACAATGCAGCTCCTGTACAGCGCTTCCCTCTCCCGCAGCCGCCGCCATGTTAGACACTCCATGTGCCCAGAGACCCAGAGGTAGTCCACTCCAGTCTAATCTAGATCCACCCCCAAAGGCTCGCAATCGAAGATACATAACCCCTGCCCCCTGAGACTGCTGCAGAGGCAAAAATAAATTATAATAAAAAGTCGCTGCAAAAAAAAAACAAAAAAAAAAAAAACGGGGAAAAAAGCACACCTCGTGACTAGGCTGGGCGTGAGGTTCGGAGCACCCAGACAATCGAAACAAAGGGGGAAACGTAGGGAGCCCATCAGAGGGGGGAGGGGATACCCAAGCGAAGGCCCGCTCCAAGCGGGCCTGCAACCCCAGTTTGGGAACACACACACACATCTCTCCCTGCCAAGAGGGGCCAGAGCCCTTCCAGCGGCCACGAGCCGTGCTAAGAGGCAAAAGCCACTGCTCCAGGGCACGGGCCTCTCGACTCCACGAGGCAATCGGCTGACCGGGCACACTGTCTGCCCCACGGCCTCCGCGAGAGGCCTGGCCTCGGTTCCCGAGGACGTCTCGGCAATGGGCCCCCACCGCCCAGGCAGCCCGTTACCGGGAGGTCAGGCCCGACGCGGCATGATGTGAGTAACCGGGGCCTAGAGGCAGCGCCGCGGTCGGGTCAGGTGACAGGCACCTCCCCGAGGCGCCCGTTTTCTGGGCACGAAGCTCCGTCGGCCGCGGAGACCGGCGTGGGGGGCTGGAGCCACAAGCCCTCCCTCTCCGTTATCTCCGCGCACCTTTTTCTTCTCCAGGTTCCGAAGTTTCTTGTCGATCACCCCGAGAATCTGCTTCATGGCCTCGGTCTGGACCGCGCCGGTGCCGGTTGCCGGATGCTGAGAAGCGGGCGCCGCTGCCCCGGCCGCCGCCGCCGCCTCACTCCCGGCGGAACCGGACGGCGGCGGCGGTCCCGACGACTTGCTGCCGCTACCGCTGTGGCTGGTGGCCGAAGGCATCTTTAGACCGAGAAGAGAGAGGAGGGAAAAAAAAAAAAAAGCGGGAGGGAAGGACAAGAGCGGCGAG